GACACAACGTAAAATCCATAGGAAACCGGCACAATTCTTTGAAAATTCAACGAAACTGTGTGAAATATATATGAGATCGCTCAGTGAAAAGCCGCCATATTGAAACTGAACTGAATATGTCACTGGAGCACGTTGCACCCTGAGCCTGCGATGAGCTAACGCAAACTCCATTTCTCGATGAAAAAAACAGAAAAAGAGGGATTTAAGACACTTGGCCCACAGGCCAGTGTAACTAGCACGCTTTTTTGAGTAAACAATACTCATACCAAAGTAAAATTACTCAAAGCTTGAGTAATTTTTCTAGTTCACTCATACAGTGAGTAAGTGTATTGTGTACATGTCGGTATAATTTGAGTACTTTCAACTCGTTTTCTTGAGTACATTCAACTCATTGTTTCGAGTAATTTTTACTCCCATTTTACGAGTTAGTTTTATTCACTATTAAGAGTCACTATGGGTGCATTCATTTATTCAATATTTTGAGTGCATCAGAATTGTTTGCAGTGTAATATCTACTGTAAATTGAATATGTTAACTTTATTAAAATTGTAAACAAAGGCCCTGGGTAAGATTAGCTTTAACCGGGATTTCTTTAACCCTCCTCAAATAAAGTATACATATACATACATATATACATGCATACAGCACATGAGTGTATAACACCGAGAGTATAAAGAAATGTGACCGACATAAAGATTCTGGAACTGGTGTAAGAAAGCATGAAAACGATTTAAGGTGGCTCCCTACAGTTTTAGGTCTGTGTCGTGGAAATTTTGTCCACGCGCGAGATTAGTAGTGCTACATGCAACATGCGGGTCGACGTTGCACACGTGGCGTTTTTTTTAAAATTGCGTCGTGATATACACGCGCGGGCCTTCGTGGGATTGTCGGCTGGTCGCGTGCGGAAATTGAAATCCTGATTTTTGTGATGTCACATAGCTAAAAATAAATGTATTTTTCTCGTGTTTCCTTCGGTAAAATTTTTTAAAACTTCACACACTTTCCTGTAATCTTGAAGTGCGTAAAATATTTAAGTTTTAAGAAAATCGTAACGAGCCGAATTTTTTTTATTCCAAAAACAGGACTTTTTGAGGATTAAAAAAAATTCACGTACGATTTTTTTTAAATGCTATCATTTGAAGGAATTATAGATAAGATTACTGTGTGCAAAAAAATTAAAAAGTTTACCGAAGAAATTTTCAAAAAGTTATCAAAGAATCTGCAAATTGGCCCTTTTTAAAATCGCTTTGTTACAATGGCAACGAGGATTTTTAATGACATTTTTTCACGCCGAGTTTCGTGATCATACTTTGCAAGATGATAAAATAATGGTTTTTGAATACAATTGTGTGCTGTACAATCAAAACTGTAGGGAGCCACCTTAAATGGAACATAGTTGACCGTATACGAAACGGAAAGAGATATTTTCAGGCCAAGCTTCCATTCCGATAAATCTGCGTTTGACCCAACTGTAAATATGCGTGTTCATTTATATATAAGCTATCTGGAATAATCGCATTTTTTTATTTTTACTATTCTGTGTAAGTGGCAATATTGTATTTATTTATGTATTGGATATATGTCAGTCGCTCCATATTTTCGGCCCATAACTTCTTGTTGGAAACACCAGCATGTCGAAATGTATTTTTCCCCTCCACTAAATAAAATATTTGTTCAATAAAGCAGCCAATTATGCTCATAAACCTGTCATTTTCAAAGATTGACACAGTGATACTTTCTGAAATATTTTAGGATGAAATCTTAATTTCTTGGATAAACCCGATGTATCTTCAGCCTGACATTGTTGATGATATAAGAGACAGTTTTGAGGAGAACTCGGAAATTGAATTGAAAGATTTTTTATTGGTAGGAAAGAATGAATGGAATAGAATAGCTTTATGGCGTCATATGTAATACCGTTAATTTTCTATGAAGTTTGTGGGCTTATAGGAGGGAGGTGGGGTGGAGGGGGTTGGGGGCGGTGGGGGCTCAACGAACAAGGGACTTGATGATTTACCCAACACGCGGCTATAGTTTTCACATGTGAATATGGATGTGACAAATTTATTCAAACACGATAAACTCATGAGTCATGATTCAAAAATAACGATTCTACACGGTGTATTTCAAAATCTGAATGATTTTGCATCTTTGAAGCTGATAATACGAAAATGCAAAAATATAATTCGAATCAGAACCAAGGGTTTGAAATTTAAAGTGGCAGAATGGCTACCATGCATGCAGTGAATATAAGATCTGGTCGCCAAATTTAATATTAGTTCTCCAAATCAATGTGTTATGAAGTCCCTTTGTATATAGATAACATAAAAAATAGTTGCAACAGTAGAATAAAAAGCTAGATCACTGAAATATTTTAGGACTTTAAAATTACCTTATTATGGTTTTATATATAAGTAGTTTTATACGGGTTTTTTTTTCAATCACCATGAGGGCCCCCTTTGGCAAATACCTGGTCGCTAGAAATCTGGTCGCAATCGGCGACCTGGTACCCGTTAATTTCAATTCCTGATCAGAACACATGGATTTCTTGCATGTGGGAGGATGGGGAGCAGGGGCGTATGCAGGATTTTTTACTAGGGGGCAGTAGGACCTATATGCCAAGAAAAGTCCTGAATATCCAAAGAACAATTAACAATGACATTCTAAAAATCGTAAATATAGTTTTCTCTAAGTTGCCCCTACTTCCGCTATGTACGGCCCTGAAGGGGAGGTCTGATAGCGACGGTGATTTATGAATATCGTTCGAAAGCGGGTGGTCTCCTAGACAGGAGGGCCTAACGGCTTAAACGATAATTTAGGGTAGGATGAATTATATTTTATTTTAATGTATCGCTCTGTTTTCGTTACTGCTGGTAACAGGAAGAAAAATACGAAGCCTTGTTGGAAGAATTGAAGAAAGAAGAAATGAAATGGCAAACAGTTGGTCCTGCTAATAAGAGGTACTATATACGCTACCGTGGTTTGTGAGGATAATGAAGGCCGGATAAGGCCCGCAATTTGATTGGTTAATACCTGTGCAGGATCAGACAATCCTGCACGGAAAATTTAAATACTTCTGCATAACGATAACTTGTGCTGAAAGAGGAATTTGTTTTTCTTTATTATTTATACATGGTGCTGTTATAAGCACAGGGTTCCAATTGGCATTTTGCTTGTGCCTGGGGTTCAGTATTAAAAAAATTAATAGCCCAATTTTCAAGTTTTCAAGTACCCCCCCCCCCTAAAACTTTTTTTGCGAGAGGCTTATAAGGTTAGCGCAAATGAATTAATGATACATGTTTTGATATGTATTTAGTAATATATGGCTGTAAAGTATAGTCCATTTTACAGGTTTTGATATCAGTACTGATGGAAATTGGCATGACTGCACTATAAAAACATAATAATTAGTGACAATTGCAATACAATTACAATACACGCAATTTTAACATTTCTTGTATTGGTAATGTCTTATAAAATTACCGTTCTAAGTTCTTTTGAAGATCAATACTAGACAATTTGCATGTTAGCAAAGCATCAGGGGAAAAGTGGTGACCATAAATATTGTGACGTTATAAAGTTACCGTTTTAAAGGTCAAGTGCAGCTAAGAGATGAGTGTGATATACTTTTACAATTCATGTATAGAGTCTATATATAGACGTTGGTTTATATAATAAAAACTCTAGTTTTAGTACTCAAACTAAAAAAACAAGACCATGCCTATGCCCACATTATTAGAAACAACAGCTTTAAAAACAACACCGAAGAATCCAATTTAGTTGATGACTACGTATCTCTTAAAAATTACAATGTAATGTATGCCAAACATGAATCACAATTCGTCATTGCGTTATTTGCGTAAATAATCATTGCCTCAATAAGTGAGTGATAAGCGTAATAACTAATATTCAGTACATTGTACTATTGATAGCTGTACTGAATACAAAGAATATAATGTATTTCTTGCTTTTTTTCTGATTACACCAATGTTATTGCGACAGATTTGCGCAAATGTTATTTGATATCACGCATTGTAATTATATAAATGCGAACTGCCTAGTTTTCTGGACGTGAGAAGGTGAAGAAGACTGGGAACGTCCTAGTTTTTTGTGCGCAGGGGTCTGAGAACGTCCTAGAATTACCTTATTTGGAAAAAAACTAGGCTGTTGTCGTCAAAAACTAGGACGTTCCCAGACTCCAAAATACCAATCGCGCGTAATGACGTTGTTTTAATCTAACTCTAGACATGTTGACAGAATAAAAACATTCCTAAAATAGAGATTATTAATATAATACGGAAACAGCTTTACATAGGGTATTAAAATAGCGGAATATTTCGAAATTAAGCACGATAATGTAGAATACACGTACACAACACAAACTGACAACCGATTTTGTGACCTATATCAGAGCGTCCTAGTTTACGCTTTCTGGTTGCCTAGTTTTTCAATTTTTACCATTTTTTTTCCTAAAATTGGAAAATTTATGAGATTGGGTTCCCAGGCACAACTGGCCTCATTTGGAACCTTGTAAGTTATATGCTTATGATTGTAAATTTCATTCAAATGTGTTTATAGGTGGTATGAGAAAGCAACTGAAGATAGTCTGTCGACTGGCCTTGTTCAAGAATGTTTTCGACTTTTTAAATCTGAACCGATATTTAAACTTCTCACAACATTTACTGGTCTGAAGTTATCTAATGTCGATATTGGTAAGAATGATGAGAAAAATGATGAACAAAATGATGAAAATACAGAAGAAACGTCAGCTGAAGATCAAGTAAATGTTGCTTTATTAAGAATCTATGTCAAGAGAGGCATCGCAATAGTTGTGCCAAGTATACATAGAAGATACTACACGGCGGCGCGAAGACAAAAGTCATATCTTCATGCCACAGTTGAATGTTCTGTTTATTATATAGTCTCAAGCAAAAAATTGTGAAATTTCACTCTCAAAAGCTCTCAAAAGCAAATTGGAAAAAGTCACGTGATCGATATCTTTACTAGTGAAGATATGGAAAAAATCTCACTGTGTATTTCTCAGTATCTCATGACTCTCTACTATATAATAACTACCGATGTCAACACGCTTTGTGATTGGTTGATTATGACAATAAAAGACAATAATAATTGTTTGTTTTCCGGCAACACCATGTAATCTGTATTCCGTAATCATGTAATCCGGTAACACCATGTCATCATACATTCATTTAGCAAAGCTCTCTCCTCTGCCACGCAGAGTTTCGATCGGTAAGCCCAGGTCGTCATCAGTGCAATGGACGTATGAATTAAAACTTAGTCTGAGCGCACTTGATACTGACATTGGAAACTTGCATGATACAGCTGTCACCGCGCGTGGTGATCAAAACTGGTACACCAATATTTCACATCTTAACACTCGGTATCATTTTCAGGCGAGACAGAGTAGTTGTCATGGTAACGTGTGTCGCTGGTCTCATGGATGTTACACTCTGATCCACGACAATGATCCGGAGGCGTCCGACATGGCTTTAGACGCTTGGTTCTTTGTTGATTGTCATGGTGAGTTATTTCAAATAACGTGGATTTAGCATTATTATTATTTCCTTGCATGGTACGGATAACGGATAACGTTCTGTTGTGAAGTACAAATCTAGAGAAACTGACCTGGCCCTATATAATATTCTCCGATGGACCATTTGCATTATAGACTAAATTTTGATCTGGACAAAAATTTCATCCCAGCTTGAAAGAGCATCACAAAATTAGTAATATTCCAAAGTTTCGTTGCGAAATGTTGTAACTGAATGCGGATAATATAGCCTTGCGAAGTTTGCCGTTTTTCAGTCATTTTGTACTACGCATGGGAAATTGACAGCCCAATCGGGTGTTGGGGCATCAATTTCCCGTTTGTAATACAAAATGACTGAAAATTGCAAATTTCGCAAGGCTATATTATCCGCATTGTACAACATTTCGCAACGAAACTTTGGAATATTACTAATTTTGTGATGCTCTTTCAAGCTGTGATGAAATTTTTGTCTAGATCAAAATTTAGTCTATAATGCAAATGGTGCATTAATATGTAGCATTTCTATCTCACTACAGGATGGGAAGAAGCGTTTGGAGGTCACACAAGTTATTTAGCACGAGAGGAAGACGAAGAGGTACGGGAAATGGAGTAGAATAAGAAATATAATCTGGTTTATTGCTCGGGCCATATATAGTGTAGTAATTTATTAACCTTTTGTATGACGTATTCACCAATAACTTGATAATATGGTAATATGTCACCGATATTATGTCGGCTTGGCTTTATATTTGATAAAACACGTGATTTTTATGATATAACATTTATAGTATACGCGAGCGTTGATTGGTCGAGAAGCGTGTTTCTATAACTACGGAAAAGTTCTTGCCTTAATACGCGCTTTTCGCTATAATCGGAAAAACGTTTAACACTTACCTGTAAACTAAAATATTTCTATTAATGCACACCGTATTGGCATCTTTGTGCCCCCCCTCGTCCAATATTGCTTTTGACATTGTATTTTACAAAGCTTTCAACTAACCAATGTATAAGCTTTCAAGAGTTTCAACATTGAACGCGACTTCTTCTTCATAAATGTTGAAGACATTATGTTGGAAAATAGATAAACTAGGCCAAGGCTTGCAATAAAGTCACGACGTATACCGATAAACTGATCTTTCAGGTGTAATCTTTGTTTTTCTCTAGTTACTGACAATTTACCCGTGTTCAAACTCACTGGCACTGGTCTATCGTGACACAGACACAGTAAAGTTTGTTAAACATATTAATAACCGTTGCAAAACAAGTGATAATGATGCTGGTTCATCAAGTGAGAAACATTCAGATCGCTATTATAATATAATGTGTACGTATTTCGAGTGAAACACCCTATATTTAATTATGGTTGTTAAATTTTAATCTGTACGAATCATGTATGTACATTTATTTCGTTTGTGAAGATGTTGCGACAAGACATCGGGACAATTATGCTTACTCTTCCTCCAATCATGCGTATTCACGTCATTAAATCTAAACCGGAGAGAAAACAAACCACGATAACGGTTCAAGTAGCAGTCAGGATTCATTCCAATATATGGTTGGATTCATGTGGCTTATACTTGCTTTTGCGACCACAGACTATTTTGTATGTTTTCTTGGAGGTAATCGACCTAAAAACTCTAGCGAGTCCCATTAAAATGCAGAACCTATCTTCAGTTTTAGCCTGGCTTATGCTTGTTATATCTATAGTACTGGCATTTCTTTATCATGCTATTGAGAAATGTTGTTTTTCCAAAAGTCGAAAATCTACAGGAACAATTATTCGGGACTACGAAAGAATTGAAGCTGAAGCTGCAATTTCGACGTTTAAGAAAGAGGCTAAACTCTTGCAAAACGAGAAGGAGAGAGAAAGGTTAAAGCAATTCTTCATGAGGTTAACGATGGCAAGACTGCCTCGGAAGTTGTGGAAGAAGCTAAGAAATGGTTGATTGATAGGTATTCACGGTTCAACAAAGTCAAGAAAGATTATCAAGTTAATGACGTACAGTTGGATGAAATTGAAGTTGAAAATTATATGGCTAAAGAAACGAAACTGTTGCATACAACAACATGTGATATTGAAAGGCACTGAGAAAATTCTCACTGCAGAAATTTCACACTATCCATAAGTAGATATTACACGCAAATTTTCTACCTATATTAATTGCAGACTCAATAACATTACATTGCTTCTTCGTCTGTAATCAATTTTATGTATGTGTTTAGCCCCTTGCCAAAGTCAATTATTAAGTCAGTATATCCCCCCCCCCCCCCCTATAAAAGTATTTGTATCTTTCTGGAGGTCTTCGAATTCTTTCTGGATATATCTTCTTTCTGGTTGTGTTTCCGGTATGTAGTGGTTGTTCGACCACGTTCTTCTTATCAGGTTTTAGTTTGGTTCTTCGACTTTGGATTTGAACCTGGTACGGTTTAGGTATATAATTGTAATATACAGACATGTACTGTGGCACAATTTCTTCTTTATCGAGATTTTTGGGCATCTCACTCGGTAGAACTCACAGTTGAAGGGTTTTTGTAGAGGAGCCTGCGTAGTGATGCGTACTAATTTCATAGATATCTTATATATACTAGATAGCGCATCTCTTTTAGTAAAATTGAAGCCAAGAATATTACAGCGGTTACCCCCATTTGAATAGATGGCGGCCATGTTGGTATTTCCCACTCGCTAATAAACGCTGAAAAACAACAATAACTTTCATCATTTGAATAGTTTGAAAATGTATTTGGAATAGGTTTAACTTAATATTTAAGTTCCCTGTTTAAGAAATAGAAAACATACGAGTCTTCTCATTTCATGGGAATATCCTGAGTCTGCAATCACG